CTACCATAGCCAAATTTTCCAATTACTGGTGATTCTCCTTTGTTTCCAAGTTTTGCATTCCAATCGCCAGTCACAATTAAATGCCTTGATTGTATGTTCGGTTGATTTCAGACTGTAGAAGTTGGTAAAAACCTTCAATTCCATCTTTTGCCTTGGTAGTTGGTGCATAAATTTCAATAATAGTAGTATTAACTGGTCTTCCTCATAGGCATAAGGATATTATCCGATCACTGAAAGCACTGTACTTTAGGATAGATCTTGAAACATTCCTTGTGATGGTGAATGCCACACCATTCCTCTTCAATGTATCATTCCTGTTGTCTGATTCAAAATGGCCAAAAACAGTCCACTTTAGCTCACTAATGCCTAAGATTTTGATCTTTATATGTTCCATTTAATTTTTGACAACTTCCAATTTTCCTAGATTCATACTTTGTACATTGCATGTTCTGATTATTAATGGATGTTTGCAGCTGTTTTTTCTCATTTTGAGTTGTGCCACATTGGATAAGCAAATGGTGGTCACAAAAGCTTTATCCTATCCACATAATTAAGGTTGTCTCTATTCTGAGAAGGCAACTCTTTCCTAGTCATATTTTGAGTGTCTTCTGACATGAGGGGCTCATCTTCTGGCAATATAGTAGATAATATTTCAGGCTATAAATAATGTTTTTTCAGTAATATATCAGACAGTGTTTCACTGCTATCCATAAAGTTTCCACTAGCCAATTTTTTGAAAAACGGATGACATCTTCCTTCTTCTGAGTCTGTCTTAGTCTGAAAGCTATGCTGAAACCTGTCCACCATCATTAACCTTGTTGGCATTTGAAACATTGGTGGCATTGTGTCCAGCCTCACAGTAACACACAACCCTCCACAGGACAACAAACCAACAGACAATTTTGTCTACCTTAGTTGTTCCAAACTGCTCAACTCCCACTTCCTAGTATGTCCCACCAGTCTCAGCTTTGCAAAAGTTGTCTGCCACCACTTCCCAGCTTGCCTTAGCTGTTCCAGCCATCCAAAAAGCTGTCTTACAGGACATAATAGCATTTGAGACCAGAAGAACTAGATGGTGCCTGGGTACCACTGTCAACCACTCGGAGGGGGATCAGTGCAAGAGATCCTGTATAGAGTAGGAGAACAATGTGGAATAAAACTCAAAATTTAAAAAAAACAAACAAACAAGAGGTTTGCTGTTCTGATAGAGACTCGTGAGACCCTTGAGACTCCAGTCCCTAGTTACCTTTCAGGTCTGGAACTGAACTCACTCCTGTGGCTTCCAACCAACCAACAGGCAGGAATATGGGGAGAACATTTATATCAGGTAGATACACTCCTTAGAGTGATCAATCATAGGAGAACAAACAGTAAGTATTTGCACAGGAGACAGCTGTAGGGACAGGAGTGCATGGGAGGGAAGGACAGAGGGAAGAAGTAACTATGGGGAGGAAGTGGAAATAGAGCTGTTGTGAATTTCAGTCAATGTCATGAGACAAAGTGTATGTGTAAGTGTATGTGTATGGGAAATGGATTTGCTTTGTAAACTTCATCCAAATCACAATAAAAATTTTAAAAAAGTGACAAATTTGGTATCAGGCAAGTTTCCCATGACTCCCATGAAATAGGGATTAATTATTCAGTTATAAAGGTCTTCATTTAAAGCCTTTTTTTTTTTTTTTTTTTGTATCTCTGTGAGGAATTCTGGTGGCACAGTGGTTAAAGCATTTGGTTCCTAATCAAAAGATGAGCAGTTTGAAATCACCAACTGCTCCATGGGAGAAATATGAGGCACTTGGCTTCTGTGAAGATTTATAGCCTTGGAAACCCTATGAGGCAGTTCTGCTCTATCTTTTAGGGTCATTGTGTGTCAAAATTGACTCATTGGCAATATATTGGGTTTTTTTGATAACTTAACACCCTGATATTAATCCCAGGGCAATATTACAATGAGGGTCTTACATAGTTTAATTTATCCATTTAAATAACACTTTAATGTTATTAGCTTGCAAGGTGACAGAGAAAGCTCCTCCTATCTGGCTGGTTTTTCTTTTCTCTCTCTCTTTTTTTTTTTTTTTCCCCTGTCAAATGTGACTGATTCATTTAAAAATATTTTCCATTTCTGTTATCTTCAATTACAGTAAACAAAGTTGGAAACAATCTTCATTTCTGTTAAGACTCTTTGATCAATGTCAGGGTAAGAAAATGACAGACTAATAGTCCAAACAGATATAATTTTACAGTTTGTCATTTTAGATTATAGTACTAGAAAATAATTTTTCCTATGGTTAGAAAATAATCACCATTAAAGAGTGTGAGCAATTTTTGTGTGCTCTGAAACAATATATTTTATCTCAAGATAATAGTGAAAGCATTGTAACTTTCCCCAAACATTATAGGTACCCATAATGTCATACCACACTTTAACAATGATATTGAATAAAATATTGTAAACTTCTAATTAGTTTTCATTTCTTTTTTATCAGCATTTTATAAGGTTGAGAAAAAAACAAAAATAATGATGAAAACATGTTCTAAAGTTTTTTAAAGCCTCATAAATAAGATTTAGTTTAACATTAGGAAAAAGTTGCATGCCTTGTATTTTTAAACATCTGTGCTATATGTTTTATCAGGAGGAGCTAGCCCCTGGAGAAAGACATCATACTTGGTAAAACAGTGAGTCAGGGAAAGAGAAGAAGACCCTCAATGAGATAGATTGACATAGTGACTCCAACTGTGGGCTCAAAGATAGCAATAATTGTGAGGATGTCACAGGACCAGACAGTGTTTTGTTCTGTTGTACATAGGGTCACTATGAGTTGGAAGCAACTTGATGGGACTTAGTAACAACAACAGTACCAAAAAGAGAGACAGAGTAGTTAAGAGCTCAGGATCTAGCAACCAGACTACCTGAATTTGAAATCTTGGCTCTACTGCCTACCAACTTCTTAACTTTGGATTATTATCTCTATCTTAGTTTTCTCATCTGTACAACAACAATAATAGTAGTAGCTCCCTTATGGTTTTATTAAGGAGTTCTGGTGGCACAGTATCTAAGGCATCTGACTGCTAACCAGAAGGTCCGAGGTTTTAACTCACCAGCTACTCTTCAGGAGGAAGATGGGGTAATCTGCTTTCATAAAGTTTTACCACCTGGGAAACCCAATGGGATTGTTATGAGTTGGAATTGACTCTATGGCAGTGAGGTTTTTAGATTTGGTATGGTTTTATTATGAGGATTTAAAAGTTAATATTTGCATTTTGGTCTATGTAATTGCTCACTATTATTATTATGCTTTTTTATAGTACACTTAGTGTAATATTGAATTATATCAAATGAAATTATTCCATGAATATTTTCATACTGCTTCCTTCAACAATTAATCTGTAGGCCCACTGTTGCTTGAGAATCAAGACTCAATTTTATCAAAGAATCTAGAATTTAAGAAAATGCAATCCCAAGAGGGAGAGAATCGGATCATTTTTAGGTTCTTGACAACAAGCCACTTCACTAGTCAATCCAGATAGCTCCAAAACACAGATTGATATTTATTGCTTGTTTTTCACTATTGCTAGTAGATATTCTGACTTGGTGCAATCTGCAATTTATTTCTAATTGATGAGGTAATTCTCCTTCTCTTTCAATAGTTATTGTGGGGTTGTCAAGAAGGGTAATGACATTTACTTTTCCATAGAGCCCAAAAATACAAATGAAATAACAATTTTAGCTTTTTTATTTGAAAAATAATACTAGAAATAATGACAATCAATTTATATCCTTTAGGTCATTTACCATTTACAACAAGATTACCATGTAGATATTATTTATTGTATCATTTTATATTTGAGGAAACTGAGCCTCAAAGAGTTTAAATAAATTGTTCCTTGTCATGTAGCTTGTATGGCACAACTTCAGATTATCACTGGGATTAGCTACATGATAAAGCTCTAAAGCTCACACTGTGTTTACAGCCAGGCTGAACCTTCTCAAGGAAATTTGTTGATTGATTGCTTGAATAAATATTTTTTAAATGAAATATTTGGATGTAGAACTACGTTGAAAAAGTAGCTCTGGTGGGATAGTGTCTAAGGCATTTGACTGCTAACCATAAAGTTGGTGGTCCAAACCCACCAGGCAATCCACAGAGGGAAGGTGGGGCAATCCACTTCCATTTTCTGCCTCAGAAACCCAATGAAGGTCACTATGAGCTTGAATAGAATCAGTGGCAGTGAGTTTGTTTTTTGGTTTAGAACTATGTTGACGTGGTAGGATGAACTTCGCAAGCTCTCACAGACCCTATAATTTAATGAAAGTTTACCATTAACTCCAAGATCTGATGTGTCTACTTTAGGCTCTGTATTAGTTTCCTAAGGCAGCAATAACAAAGTAGATGGCCTTGAAAAATAGGATTCCATTGCCTCACACTAACAGAGGCTTGTTGTTGTTGTTGTTACATGCTGCGGAGTCGGACCAACACATAGCGACCCCTCCTTGGGTTTCTGAGGCAGTGTCACTATGGAAGTAGATTGCCCCATCTTCCTTCCGAGGAGTGACTGGTGGGTTTGATCCGCCAGCCTTCTGGTTAGCAGGCAAGTTCCTTAGGCACAATGCTACCAGAGTTCCCAACAATAGCTAGAAATCCAAATTAACTTGTTGGAAAAGCCATGCTCCTTCTTAATTCTCTAAGGAAAGATTTTTTCTTGTTTCTCTTAGCTGGTAGTTCCAGGCACTTCTTGGCTTATAAATGCATCTTTACATGGTCCTTTTTTCTCTATTTCTTCATGTCTCTTCTCCTCTTTTATAATGACACCACTCATGCTGGATTAGTATTCACCTTACTCCAATATAACCTCACAATAACTTAAGTGATAACATCTTCAAACGAAGCCACCATCAGAGGTACTGGGTCTTCAACATATCTTTTTGTAGGATACAATTCAAACTATTACCGTCTCTGAGTGACAACATTAATAGTATAACCAAAATTACCCAACCATACCTCCAACGTGTGGTGGTGGACCACAGAGAAGTACCACACCTTGACCTTCCCGGACAGACACTGTGCTTCTTGGTTTGGTTTCAAATTCTTCGATGTCTTGAGGGAAAGGGGGAAAGAAAAAGATAAGGTTTTGAATTAATTTTTTTGAAAAAAAATTTTTGAAAGAAAAAATTTAAACATACTTTTGTTATTCAGTATAATAAATATTCATAAAATTACCAGATTTAGTTGAGATCAATTTATCTGTATTGATTATTATCATGCAAAATATTGTTTTTCTTTTCTTCTCTTTTTAATATAATTTAAATAATTAATATAAAAATTTAATATAATTAAACATATTTGCTGGTATTACTCACTATCTGTTTATTTTATCCTTCTGTGCATCCTGTAAGGAGCTATGGTGACACTGTGTTAAGAAATTTGGCTGCTAACCAAAAAGTCACTGGTTCAAACCCACCAGCCTTTCTGAAGGAAAAATATGAGGCAGTCTGCTTCCATAAAAATTTAGTCTTGGACATCCCATGAGGCAGTTCTACTCAATGGCAGAGGTTTTTTTTGAATGCAGCCTACATTCCAATAAGAAAATTTGGAAGCCCAGCTCAGGGTGAGTATGATTAAAAAAAAAAAAAAAGATTTACAGCAGGTTACCGTCTTCCATTAGTGTTTACCATTTGTAGTAGAGTCTATGAGAATTGCTACTGGAATGGTATGAGGGGAGAAGTTCTACGTGAATGAATCAATGAGATAGAAGGAATATTTTCTACTTTCCCTTGATCCACTTCTTCACATAACAATTTTATGATCTTATTTTGAATATTGTGATTTCCTACAACATGAAAGGATCATAGAAATTCAGAATTGAAAGATCATTTACTAGCTGTCCTGTTAAGACACCATCTTAGGTATAAATCCTTAAATATTATTGGCAAATGGTCACTCAAACTTAAAGAATGGACACATTATTTAACTTCATTGAGTCTCAGTTTTTTCACCTGTAAAGTTCATTTACCCATTCACTCAATAAATATGCACTGGGCACTCAATAAAATACAGGAAGATTATTAAGGGCAGAAAACACATGGGTTAATAAAACAGGTGTGTACCCTTCTTTTATTGGGTTTACTATCTAGCAAGAAGACTGGTTAAAAACATATAATCTAGAAAAGTTTACAGTGTTCTGGAGTGGAGACTGCTACTTGTCCTCCAATATTCATTTCTATTCTTTCATACTTATAGATCTGTAGATGAAACAAGTTTGCTAACTATTGAATGCATTTCCCATACTTTTGTGCAGCTACATGTGGCATGCAGAAATGATGAGTGAAATTTCCACCTTTTAGGTCTAGAAGAAACTTCTATAACATCTAATGCTGCCATTCACCATTCACCACCACCTGGAATGCTAATGACAAGAGAGGTCTTAGGAATCACTTGTTGGTGATGAAAAAAACACTGTTGGCTTAGGTTTTAAATTACTATGTAGAGAAGAATAAGTTGATCTAGAACATCCACTCTAGATCATTACATTAAAGACCAAAACTAAATTTATTTAAATCAAGTCAATTATGACCCATGCTCATAACGTGTTAAAAGATAGTATTGTTCCATAGGGTTTTCTTGGCTGTAATCATTAGATAAGCAGTTCACCAGATATTTCCTCCATGTGTCTGTGAGTGAGTTTGAACTGTCAAACTTCAATTTAGTAGTCAATTGGCAAACCATTTGTGACACTCAGGGAACTGATCATTAAACAGATAAATAAACCTTCATCTTGTTTGAAGCATTGAATTTTGGGATCTCTTTGTTACAGCAGTTTAACATTTTACCATGTCTAATGGATACTGTAAAGGAAAATAATTGAATGTAGATATGATGTATTTGAGGCAGCCATACAAGAGTGGCATCACTTGCAGAAAGAAAAGCTGCGAAAAAGCATAAATTTGGGAAAACACAGGGGATTTTCAAGATACTGAACGAAGCCAGTGTAGATAAAGAGTAGTCGACAAGACCCAATGAGATTACAGACGTTAAGAAAGTACCGACAGGCAGCTATAATGCATTTTGACTTTGCTGAACATACAAAATAAATACTTAGAAACAACCTGAAAATACAGCAATGATAGAAACTGAATACAATTTCAAATATAGCATGAAATATTATTAATGATTAAAAAGAATGTATCAAATCTACAAGGATTGCTTTGAGAAGGTATTAATAATATACAATTAAAATTTGTAAGAAAGTTGATAAATACTGGTACAGCATCATACCTTTATGGAAGAAACATTTAAAAAGCTAAACATGAGCATCTCTTAAAAGTGTTATAGAGAAGGTTAAAGAATAATTTTTTTAAAAATGTTTACATTGGATAACACAGTGGAGTGGATTGTAAAGGTAGAAGTAGAGATTATTAAGCTCCTTATTTATATGTCTCTTCATTTTTTAAACCTTGTATGTCATAAAGATAGTGTCTAAGGCATTTGACTGCTAACCAAAAGGCTGGTGGTTCAAAACCACCAGCTGCTCCTTGCAAGGAAGGTTGGGCATTCTACTTCCATAGAGATTGTTGTTTTGTTGTTGTTAAGTGCCATCAAGGCGTTCCCAACTCATAGCGATCCCATGCACAGCAGAACGAAACGCTGCCTGATCCCGCGCCAGCCCCACAATCCCTGCTATACTTGAGCCCATCATCACAGGCACCGTGTCAATCCATCTCCATGAAGGCCTCCCCCTCTTTCGTCAACCCTCCACCCTACCAAGCATGACATCCTTCTCCAGGGAATGGTCCCTTCTTACAACATGACCAAAATA